GGTTAAACACGCTTACATAGATTTTATACGGGTAGTTTAGCCGATATATTTTGCGCATGAACACTTGTAGGTAACAGCTTTTATGTAGACATCTTACTTTTTTCTAACCTACTTAGTGTAAAGAAAAGTTCGGAATGTAGCCTTTTTGTCGGTATAGGTAGATTTATAAAAGCAAGCTAAATTTCTAGTCGACCATAGGTGCTATAAAAACTCTCAGTTAGGAACATTATGATTTAAGTGGGGTTGTGAATGTCGAAGACGGTGTTAATTATTATAGAAGTCGAAACACGAGCAAGTGCAGCAGTGATGTAACCACTTTCCTCAAAACCCAAAGTAAATAGAAATCTAAATGATGGAGGTTTGGTAGTGGGTACAACATTTTAATAATGTGGTAAGCGACTACTATTTTTAAGATGCATGCTGATGTTCAAGCTTTACTTTTGATCGTGAAATGTAGAAGTTTCCGTTTATATGATCATGATATGTACTCGAATATATTTAAAAAATATATAGTCATCTTTACCCACGTAATTATTATAGTATACGTTTAAAATTGATAGTACGTAAAAAAAAAATCGAAAATATCGGCATCGACCTCAGTATTAATTTAACTTACTCGTGATGATTCTTCTACCTTATACACAGTAATATCTAGTACTTGCTCATATCATAGAAAAAAAACACATATTTTATGCCTTTTAATAAAGCATTGTCAAAGAAGCTTCAGGGTATAAGTCACACTCGACATTGCATCATTGACATTAATTTACGAATGCGAAAAAACATATCTATTTCTCAGCAACTTAAATCACAGGAGGTGTTATAACCCCAGGAGCATGAATCGGGCATCACCATTTTAAAAATTGACGTAAGCATTCGATATACGAGCAGTGTATCAACTAGTATTCCTTTTAATAATCATATGAACTGCTTTTTGTTGTAATAAAGAATCATTTTAATGCGAAGATTGGCTTTGGGAAATATATAAGTAAGTTTTTGTGGGCCAGAAATCTACGAGGATTTCAACGGAATGTAAAAATTCATGCTAAAAAGGTAGTGATGAATACCTTGGACTGCCGAAACTTGTATGAAGGATGGGAAAGCCCCGATAGTAAAAGACAAAACACGATTGTATTGAAAAAAATATAAAGAAGTTTTTGCATTGATTCTTGACCTTGAGTTACGGACAATGAATGGCTACCAACTTAATACTGTTGGTAGTCCATTTTTCGTAGCGTCAGCAAACTTAACACCTTTAAGGGTATCAGAGCCGTGCAGAGAATCCTCGCGCAAAACTTATATCATCCCTCGGGCGTGATAACATAAATTTCGTTGAAACACAGGATCACGTGAGCAGTCTTTAACAAATTAAGTATGATTTATCTTTATCTGTCACCCATGTCTTTTCTCTATTGCAGCATTTTTTATTACTTTGTGTGTCACATAAATCGGGTTTTGGACGCAAAGCGGTAGGACGTACAGTTTTTAACCTATGGAAGACACAGAAAAGTGTTATTAAGGAATTTGTTGCGCTAAATGATTTCAAAACGCTCGCCACTTGGCAGTTATAAATTGTGCCCTTATCGAAATCTTTACAAAGCACACTACGATATTGGTTATCGCCACACAGGTACTTTTATCAAAGTAAAAGTCTACTTTGCAGATTTGCGCAACAATGATGTTAATTGCATTCTTTACAGCCTCTTCTCGTCATCCCTTTCTGATATCCTACTTCTTACTCTGATGCAGCATTTTTCATCAATCAAATCTGGCACGGCTGAATAAAGCTCGTCTATTGTAAATAACTAAAGTCTGGAAGAACCCCAACTGTATTTTGATAGAATGAGGAGTCTGAGTAAGGTTTCTTCCTCGGGCCGACATGGGACGGTCACCATTATATTTTTGATAGATCGATTGACTGATTAATATGAATTAAGAAAGTGCTATGCATATAAATTAAGCCTCATCCGTACCATTCTATAGATTGTCGATATATAAGCTAATATATTCATGGATACCTCCAACCATAGCGATCTACTTTGTCTGAGCTCTTTGACGAATGCACGTGTCATCCAAAGCGCAACCTGTATGATGTGAAAATTGCGTGCAAATCCAAAATACATGTTTGCCCGCTCTAGCTCTTACGCCTACGACGTCGCGTACAGACGTCAAAGAACTAATTACATTCGGTAATGTATTTTGACGAACGCTAGTAATATATCAGCTAAATTATATATGTAAAACGAGGACCTTATAATCATCGCTTGATGATTGTTAATCTGTGGAGCATGTTAAGTGACCGAGGATGGAGTTATAGTATGACTATTGCGAAATATTTGTATTCAGCGCCCAAGATAAGGCATGTGTAAAGAGGTATCGGAGACTAATATAAATGACCTACTCTTGTCAAATCGCTGCAATTTGTGACAATTATAGGGGATTGCTGATATACTCATTCGTCGAATAATTCGTAGGCTTCGTCGGGACAATACCTATCAGATAGCGGAATTGTGAGTTACGTAAATTTCTGTTTTTTGTGAGAAATTAAAAATTAAAAATCTATTTCCACCTATTAAATCACATTGAAATATGCCTTTAGCACGCCTCATCAATACACAAAGACTCGGGGTATGCCTGCACAAGTCCAAGAATCCGAATATGTGCTAGAGTGTCTTGAAAATTGGGCTTCCAGCAAGTTCGGTCCTCGCCTCACCCAGGCTGAAATCTTTCTTATACGTAACAATGGCACGGATCTGATATCCTATTATAGATCCATACTTATGTCAAACGTCTCCCCGTCGTTCAAGATCCAAATCTGGAGGAAGCTTTGTCAACATGGCTCGTTCAATGCCAGGCAATTTTTTTGCCTTATTTGGGAAATCATCAAGGTTGATGCCAAGGTGTTTTCTGAACGATTTGGCTTTCCTGAGGATACCATCAAGGTTTCCAGTAAATAGTTAAATTGCTTTCGGAAGAGAAACAATATCCACAGCATCTAGATTAATAGAGACAGTGCTTCAGAAAACGTGGAAGCCATAAATGCAGGTCTGCCTGATCTTCGGGCTGTAATTGCTCGCTACGAGTGCCAAGATGTATTTAACATGGACGAAACTGATATGCCTAAATTTGCGAAATCTTAATTTAGTCTAATGTTGAATATTAATATCGGTAATTTAAGCCTTTTCTGCAACATGCTAAAAGAGAAGACAGTTGCGCAGCAAGGAATTGAACGTGGATAATTTTATAAGTAGGTCTTGATTAAATTCGTAACAAAAAGCTTCGAAACTTGGAACATTCAGCTCAATATTATATTTTCTCCTTTATTTGGGCAATATCACTATTGCCTCCACGGCCAATGCGGAAAGTACTGGATAACTTCGAGCCTTTTTTATTGGGAAAGAATAAAATCCTCGATGTTTTGAGAGCAAATCCGGAGAGCAGCTCGTATGCTACTACAGGAGGACAAGAAAGCCTGGATGACTGGTGCTCTGTTTCAAGAGTGGTTGATGAGATTTTAAATCGACATGAAGGTAAGTAATCTATATGTTTTGATTCCATTGTATATTTTAAGGCCACTATATCACGCTCTAGACATAGCCGTATCATTCCCAGGTCCGCAAAAGAAAAGTCGTGCTTTTTCTAGATAATGCATCATCAAATACTACCAATGATCTGAAGCTGAAGAATGTTCACGTGCAGTTCTTGCCCATCAATTGTACCGCAAAAATTAATCCCATGGTTTCCTGAATCATATCTACTTTCAAGCGCCACTACAGGCGCCTCCATCTTCAGAATGCTGTGGACCGCGACGAACGTGGCGACGTTAATAGACATAAGGTCGACTAGTTGACCCCCTGAAATGAGATGTAGCAGAGTGGGAGTGGATTTCAGCTGCAACTGTGGCAAATTCTGTCAACCACACTGGACTATTTGTGTCCTCGCCTTTGCCTTCTGTGGCTGATCAGGAGGAGCAAATGGTTGACCGCGAGTCGCAGGATGCCATGTATATATTTTTCTTCTGAAGAACCCCATGACCATTTCCAATCTGATGATTGTGGTGGAGGAGGATGAAGCAGCACACTTGGAGTTGAATGACTGTGAGATTATCCAGACGATACAGAAGGCTGAAGACGAGGAGGAACAGGAGGAGGGGCAAGTCGTTATTGGTGGAGACCAGCAAGGAATAAAAGCTCAAGTCTCTAGCTGTTACTGCTTCCATCCTTGATTTGACGATCTCGGCTGACAGGGTTTTTCATAGACGTGTTCGTGACCTTCGGATGTCCGTCCGTATTGATGCCACCACTTAGAGCACCCTCGATTCTTGGCTTCAGAAGATAAGCTTACTGAACCACTTTGGCTTCTTCAAATGCGTTAAATTTTATACATGAATGTTATTTTCTTTGCTAAAGAGCATTCTTGCATGGTATTTTGTCCCCCGGAAAACTCATCAAATTCATATAGTTATGAGTAACGAGTTATGAGTTAGGGACCATAATGCAAGCAAGGTGGAACTCAGTTTGTAAAAAGTATATGAGTTTTGAGTTATGAGGATATGAGTTATCCGAGGTTCGACTGTACTGCTATCATTGCCGGTGTATGTCGCATGGTTGGAGAGTTTAGAGTTTTGCCTTCTTGTAACATTGCACTTTCGGGCATAATTGCACTGGTTGCCCGCGTCAGTTTTTTGTATCAGTCACCTGCTTGCGTGTGACTTAAAAAGTCTTAAGGGCTTGTGATAGGTAAATTAGCTCAGCTTCATATTGAATATAAATTTCTGCCTATTCGACAGACTGCTGACAGACGACTCAGAAGTCCATCTATCTCTTGCAGAACACCCTGCGTGACTTTACTGGCACAAATCACATACGCGTGAAGTAGCTTCGCACAGTGAAATCATAAAAACAAACTATTAAAGTCAAACGTAGTTGCTGTTTCCTTTTGTATTACGTCGTACATACAAACAGCATTGCCAATGAAGTGACATTCTTTCAGTAACCTACTTATGGTGGTGTTGCTACACGTAACTTGGCCGAGCGAGATTCTACAGTCCAACGCAGAACCTTCAACGCATGTATACTTTCGCTCAGCTCGGCTAAGTTTTGTCTGCTGTACCCGTTAATATACGTTTCCGCCATTTTCACGGCCTTTCCTTCTATTTCAGGATCCCCGTAGAATGCCTTATAAGTAAGGGCTTTGATGAAGTTCAAAGGGGTCACTGTGGCGGACGTGAAGTCCTGCGTCGACTTCTGAGCGTCAATTAGTTCGACAGCGAGCTTGATGTCATCACTCGGGGAAAGGATGAACGCAAGGCTATTTGGGAGTTCAAGAGTTGAACCTGTAAAGGCCTTCTTGTTCCTTTCCATGGCAACCACCGCTTTTTTGACCAGCTGTTGATCCTGGATCAAGCCAGATTCAAACATGAGCTTGAACGCAGATTTGGCGAGTTGTAGCGTCGTCGGAGGTACCTCAGCCATTCTCTCTTCACGGTTGTCGTCTTCCGACACGTTCTTCGCGTAAAGCCCCTTACTCTCCCGAATTTCAAAACGAGCCCCTGAGTCTTGGTCTGGGGTCATCTTCGTTGCAACCAACTCAGCTGTAGCCATAAGAGTGTCGCTGTCGGGCGTTGCAAAGAAGGCAAGAGCAAATAGGCGAAAGACCTTGACCATTAGAACCGAACAATAGATCAAAGAAGTAGAGAGAGGGAACTCAGGCACGTTGGAGGCGCGACAGCGTTAATTCGAATGTGAGGAGTCAAATGTGGTGTCAAAGGTATGTTGTCGTACGCTTTGAGGTTTGGATTTACAATGATACGGCAATGGTAGACGAGACACCCTACTAAAGAACGTTATTGACTTGTTCACGGAATTCTGATCCTCTCGAGCATTGTGTAGAAGTCGGCCTAGACTTTATCGTGCACAGCGTTCGTCGTATGACTGGCTACCAGTGGGCGTCTACACACCCGGGTTTCAAGACAAGTAGAGTGTCATTACTGCAACGAATATGAGACCGATCGACTCGGAGTCATTGCAGTAGCGTGCACAGTGTTCGTCGTTTAGAGCTCTTTGTCGTCCTGATCCTTACCCTATTCACGAACAAAGCAGTCGAGAAAGCTCAAGCATTGAAGCCAGTAGTTTTCTCGACCCAATTTATGTGAGTAGCAGGTCCGAATTTAAGGCTTTCTGTCAAGTGTCTGACTCTGTTCACGGGATTCTGATCCTCTCGAGCATTGTGTAGAAGTCGGCCTAGACTTTATCGTGCACAGCGTTCGTCGTATGACTGGCTACCAGTGGGCGTCTACACACCCGGGTTTCAAGACAAGTAGAGTGTCATTACTGCAACGAATATGAGACCGATCGACTCGGAGTCATTGCAGTAGCGTGCACAGTGTTCGTCGTTTAGAGCTCTTTGTCGTCCTGATCCTTACCCTATTCACGAACAAAGCAGTCGAGAAAGCTCAAGCATTGAAGCCAGTAGTTTTCTCGACCCAATTTATGTGAGTAGCAGGTCCAAATTTAAGGCTTTCTGTCAAGAGTGTCTGACTCTGTTCACGGGATTCTGATCTTCTCGAGCATTGTGTAGAAGTCGGCCTAGACTTTATCGTGCACAGCGTTCGTCGTATGACTGGCTACCAGTGGGCGTCTACACACCCGGGTTTCAAGACAAGTAGAGTGTCATTACTGCAACGAATATGAGACCGATCGACTCGGAGTCATTGCAGTAGCGTGCACAGTGTTCGTCGTTTAGAGCTCTTTGTCGTCCTGATCCTTACCCTATTCACGAACAAAGCAGTCGAGAAAGCTCAAGCATTGAAGCCAGTAGTTTTCTCGACCCAATTTATGTGAGTAGCAGGTCCAAATTTAAGGCTTTCTGTCAAGAGTGTCTGACTCTGTTCACGGGATTCTGATCTTCTCGAGCATTGTGTAGAAGTCGGCCTAGACTTTATCGTGCACAGCGTTCGTCGTATGACTGGCTACCAGTGGGCGTCTACACACCCGGGTTTCAAGACAAGTAGAGTGTCATTACTGCAACGAATATGAGACCGATCGACTCGGAGTCATTGCAGTAGCGTGCACAGTGTTCGTCGTTTAGAGCTCTTTGTCGTCCTGATCCTTACCCTATTCACGAACAAGGCAGTCGAGAAAGCTCAAGCATTGAAGCCAGTAGTTTTCTCGACCCAATTTATGTGAGTAGCAGGTCCGAATTTAAGGCTTTCTGTCAAGAGTGTCTGACTCTGTTCACGGGATTCTGATCTTCTCGAGCATTGTGTAGAAGTCGGCCTAGACTTTATCGTGCACAGCGTTCGTCGTATGACTGGCTACCAGTGGGCGTCTACACACCCGGGTTTCAAGACAAGTAGAGTGTCATTACTGCAACGAATATGAGACCGATCGACTCGGAGTCATTGCAGTAGCGTGCACAGTGTTCGTCGTTTAGAGCTCTTTGTCGTCCTGATCCTTACCCTATTCACGAACAAAGCAGTCGAGAAAGCTCAAGCATTGAAGCCAGTAGTTTTCTCGACCCAATTTATGTGAGTAGCAGGTCCAAATTTAAGGCTTTCTGTCAAGAGTGTCTGACTCTGTTCACGGGATTCTGATCCTCTCGAGCATTGTGTAGAAGTCGGCCTAGACTTTATCGTGCACAGCGTTCGTCGTATGACTGGCTACCAGTGGGCGTCTACACACCCGGGTTTCAAGACAAGTAGAGTGTCATTACTGCAACGAATATGAGACCGATCGACTCGGAGTCATTGCAGTAGCGTGCACAGTGTTCGTCGTTTAGAGCTCTTTGTCGTCCTGATCCTTACCCCGTTCACGAACAAGGCAGTCGAGAAAGCTCAAGCATTGAAGCCAGTAGTTTTCTCGACCCAATTTATGTGAGTAGCAGGTCCAAATTTAAGGCTTTCTGTCAAGAGTGTCTGACTCTGTTCACGGGATTCTGATCTTCTCGAGCATTGTGTAGAAGTCGGCCTAGACTTTATCGTGCACAGCGTTCGTCGTATGACTGGCTACCAGTGGGCGTCTACACACCCGGGTTTCAAGACAAGTAGGGTGTCATAACCGCAAGGACTATGAGAAATTGATATAGGGATGGATTTTAATACTTTGTTTATAAAGGCATTTGGGGTGATTATCGTGAAAATGATTCCGTGCTTCTGGTGCAAACGAAGCAGCGCCTCATATTTTTTTGACGCAATTATGATGTAAATGGAGTGATTTTTTGACAAAGTCGCTGCGGGCAGTACAAATGGTAGTAATATCGTACTATCAGGATGGGAGAGGGAACACGATCTTAGTCTTATACAGGCCTTGGGTACGGCCGGATAATAAATTAGTGCTAGATCCGCGCTATGAGTGGCGAGATATGTGTCAACCTATATATAAGCTGTTTATGTTAATAGAGTCAATCTCTAGTTTATTGACTAGTTTGACGGTATATATACCTCTCTTGCTTAACCCATCTGTATGGTTGAGTTAATTCGCTTCCTTACACACGTTCGTTCGACGGATTCTGTACAGCACCTTTCTACACTGTCACGAAAATAAATCTTATATGTCATCAGTCTAAGCGCATGATACCCGAATACGATGTTGCTCATGTACCGGGTAAAGATACAAGAGACAAAAATGACGACAGCTGATGTCTTCAGTGAGAGCACCAACACCGTGTAGAAATTGCAGGAAAATAGTCCTGGTGGTGAAGTCTTTAAGGTCTAAGATGCAAAATGGTTGCATATACAGTCACCCGTGTCTATAAGAGACACCCTCTATATAAGGGTCACAGTGTCGCTGAAGAGTTCGAACTATATGGGAATTTGTAAACCGTTATTTTTATAAGCGAGTCAGATATAAAAAAAGAAAAACACTCACCCATTTGAGGTGAAAACCCTTTTTTTATAACTCACTACCCCTACTTCTGATGCTGAAAGAGATACGTGGAATATGATGTGACAGTTGATCTAGCCGAAGCTTTTCCTTAAACCTATTCAGCAACATCACAGAACCACAGACGTGGTTTGAGGAAAGACATAGCGCGTGTCATAATAAAGGAGCTTGTAAGGCCCACATTACTGATGACGTCATGACGACAGATACAGAAGGCGAAATTTAATAACTTCGTAAGGCAATAGATAGGAAGAAATAAAATTTAATTTTCGTAAATACTCGCCTACACCACTGATACAACACGTCCACCCAACAACATCAAGCCCGTGCAACCAATGAGTTCAACAAAGCGAGTATCCTTCTATCTAAAGCGGAATTACGAGGTCTTACAACACTGCAAAGAACGCCCAAACATCCGCTTTTACGAAGTGCAGACTTATGTGAGCATTCAGTTCCAGCACAGCATTAGTATATCAACGGCGCATCGGCTCATGGCCAAAAAGGAAATCGACTTTCAGGGCTTTAACCCCAATGTAAAAAAGAAACGACGTGTAAAGCATCCTGAGCTCGAGAAGGGACTGCTAAAGTTCGTTCTCAAGCGCGAGAGTGACGGTTTGTCTGAAGATATGGTCCTGGAAAAAGCAGACCGACTGCGAGTGAGCCATGATTTAAAGATCACGACCTCAATCTTTCCAAAATATGGCTCCAGAGTTTCAAAAAGCGAAATAACATCAAAAGCCGCGCGTTGACAGGTGAGAGTGGGAGGTTGTGTATCGAGGATGTGCAAGCAGAAAAGTATGAGAAACGATCTCTGATTGAACAAAATTTATCGAGTGATGTGCTTAATTTTGATGAGACGGCATTACTTTACGACTTTAAATCGAATAAAAACTATCCACGGTTCAAAATACCGGCAAGAAGAGCGTATTTTCACGCGTAGCAGTTCCTCTATGCTGCAACTAAAGTGTCCCTAAAAACTGGAGCCCATGATCATCGGGAAGGTTTAAAAGCCAAGGTGCTTTAAGAAAGTAGAGATCGAGCATCGTGGCATCGTATACGCTTCGAACTCAAACGACTGGATGACTGTAATTATCTTTAATGAATTCCTGTATCAATTCTATTGTCAAATATATGGATTTAAAGTCCTGCTACTTCTCGATAATGCTTCCAGTTACAAGGTCCTACGGGAAACCAACAACAATAGTAATGTAGTAACTTTTTCGCCTAGCATGACTTCCACTATCAAGCCGCTCGGTGCATGTACGCATTAATATCATAGTTTATATATGTGCGTCTTAAATCTACATAAATCTCTTCACCTATATATATGGTATATAGGTATCATCCGATCGTTTAAAAGTTCGCTACAAGAAACTTCATATGCGATGGCGCATAAATCTGATCGAAGAAAACAAAGGATGCAGACTTATTATCCTAGAAGCCATTAAGTTTGCAGCTGAGAGCTGTAACAATATTGGCGGGTATATTATTCGAAGTTGCTGAATTAAAAGTTGGATCGTTGAAGCGCCACATGTTTCGGGTTTTCGTGCACAAAACGGCTATCGACAGTCCAGCCTCGCCTTCCAACAAGACTACTGCGATATGGCTGATATGTTTCAAAATCTTGTTGTAACCGTAAGCGTGGAAGGTTATGTCGAAATCGAGGACCTCAAGCAGATTCACGAAGAATAAGAAGCTCTGATTGAAGTATAGTTGGAGCCCGCGGGAGTCGAAAGAGACGAAGATCAAGCTCCTGTTAGTGCAAAAGAAGCAATAAAGTGCTG